TAGAGCCTCCATTTTTGCACTCAGGTCAAAGTCTCACAGCCCTCTATCATAATCCAGAGTTTTGAGAAGATTGGAGAAACTTAATTTTTCGCCCAAAAATGAAAAAAAACAAAAGGGGTAACACTGTCGTTTTTTTTTCGGGTCGAAATTTTGAATTTTGATATCTCAGCTCTGGAAGGGTCTAGAGCCTCCATTTTTGCACTCAGATCAAAGTCTCACAGCCCTCTATCATAATCCAGAGTTTTGAGAAGATTGGAGAAACTTAATTTTTCGCCCGAAAATGAAAAAAAACAAAAGGGGTAACACTGTCGTTTTTTTTTCGGGTCGAAATTTTGAATTTTGATATCTCAGCTCTGGAAGGGTCTAGAGCCTCCATTTTTGCACTCAGGTCAAAGTCTCACAGCCCTCTATCATAATCCAGAGTTTTGAGAAGATTGGAGAAACTTAATTTTTCGCCCAAAAATGAAAAAAAACAAAAGGGGTAACACTGTCGTTTTTTTTTCGGGTCGAAATTTTTAATTTTGATATCTCAGCTCTGGAAGGGTCTAGAGCCTCCATTTTTGCACTCAGGTCAAAGTCTCACAGCCCTCTATCATAATCCAGAGTTTTGAGAAGATTGGAGAAACTTAATTTTTCGCCCAAAAATGAAAAAAACAAAAGGGGTAAGTAACACTGTCGTTTTTTTTTTCGGGTCGAAATTTTGAATTTTGATATCTCAGCTCTGGAAGGGTCTAGAGCCTCCATTTTTGCACTCAGGTCAAAGTCTCACAGCCCTCTATCATAATGCAGAGTTTTGAGAAGATTGGAGAAACTTAATTTTTTGCCCAAAATGAAAAAAAACAAAAGGGGTAACACTGTCGTTTTTTTTCGGGTCAAAATTTTGAATTTTGATATCTCAGCTCTGGAAGGGTCTAGAGCCTCCATTTTTGCACTCAGGTCAAAGTCTCACAGCCCTCTATCATAATCCAGAGTTTTGAGAAGATTGGAGAAACTTAATTTTTTGCCTAAAAATGAAAAAAAAACAAAAGGGGTAACACTGTCGTTTTTTTTCGGGTCGAAATTTTGAATTTTGATATCTCAGCTCTGGAAGGGTCTAGAGCCTCCATTTTTGCACTCAGATCAAAGTCTCACAGCCCTCTATCATAATCCAGAGTTTTGAGAAGATTGGAGAAACTTAATTTTTCGCCCAAAAATGAAAAAAAACAAAAGGGGTAACACTGTCGTTTTTTTTTCGGGTCGAAATTTTGAATTTTGATATCTCAGCTCTGGAAGGGTCTAGAGCCTCCATTTTTGCACTCAGGTCAAAGTCTCACAGCCCTCTATCATAATCCAGAGTTTTGAGAAGATTGGAGAAACTTAATTTTTTGCCTAAAAATGAAAAAAAACAAAAGGGGTAACACTGTCGTTTTTTTTTCGGGTCGAAATTTTGAATTTTGATATCTCAGCTCTGGAAGGGTCTAGAGCCTCCATTTTTGCACTCAGGTCAAAGTCTCACAGCCCTCTATCATAATCCAGAGTTTTGAGAAGATTGGAGAAACTTAATTTTTCGCCCAAAAATGAAAAAAAACAAAAGGGGTAACACTGTCGTTTTTTTTTTTCGGGTCGAAATTTTGAATTTTGATATCTCAGCTCTGGAAGGGTCTAGAGCCTCCATTTTTGCACTCAGGTCAAAGTCTCACAGCCCTCTATCATAATCCAGAGTTTTGAGAAGATTGGAGAAACTTAATTTTTCGCCCAAAAATGAAAAAAAACAAAAGGGGTAACACTGTCGTTTTTTTTTCGGGTCGAAATTTTGAATTTTGATATCTCAGCTCTGGAAGGGTCTAGAGCCTCCATTTTTGCACTCAGGTCAAAGTCTCACAGCCCTCTATCATAATCCAGAGTTTTGAGAAGATTGGAGAAACTTAATTTTTTGCCCAAAAATGAAAAAAAACAAAAGGGGTAACACTGTTGTTTTTTTTTCGGGTCGAAATTTTGAATTTTGATATCTCAGCTCTGGAAGGGTCTAGAGCCTCCATTTTTGCACTCAGGTCAAAGTCTCACAGCCCTCTATCATAATCCAGAGTTTTGAGAAGATTGGAGAAACTTAATTTTTCGCCCGAAAATGAAAAAAAACAAAAGGGGTAACACTGTTGTTTTTTTTTCAGGTCGAAATTTTGAATTTTGATATCTCAGCTCTGGAAGGGTCTAGAGCCTCCATTTTTGCACTCAGGTCAAAGTCTCACAGCCCTCTATCATAATCCGGACTTTTGAGAAGATTGGAGAAACTTAATTTTTTGCCCAAAAATGAAAAAAAACAAAAGGGGTAACACTGTTGTTTTTTTTTCAGGTCGAAATTTTGAATTTTGATATCTCAGCTCTGGAAGGGTCTAGAGCCTCCATTTTTGCACTCAGGTCAAAGTCTCACAGCCCTCTATCATAATCCGGAGTTTTGAGAAGATTGGAGAAACTTAATTTTTTGCCCAAAAATGAAAAAAAACAAAAGGGGTAACACTGTCGTTTTTTTTTCGGGTCGAAATTTTGAATTTTGATATCTCAGCTCTGGAAGGGTCTAGAGCCTCCATTTTTGCACTCAGGTAAAAGTCTCACAGCCCTCTATCATAATCCGGAGTTTTGAGAAGATTGGAGAAACTTAATTTTTCGCCCGAAAATGAAAAAAAAAACAAAAGGGGTAACACTGTCGTTTTTTTTTCGGTTCGAAATTTTGAATTTTGATATCTCAGCTCTGGAAGGGTCTAGAGCCTCCATTTTTGCACTCAGGTCAAAGTCTCACAGCCCTCTATCATAATCCGGAGTTTTGAGAAGATTGGAGAAAATCTGTAAAACAAAAACCTCAAAATTATAGTTGAAATGGTATACTGCTGGAATTTTTTTGACCTTGAGAAAAAGCTTAAAGTATAGACCAACAAATTTTATTTTTATTAATTTATTTCATGTTGGTACATTTTTTGGAATTACACCTGTTTTGACCTGATGTCCATTGGAATGGACAAAAAAAAAATCACAATGAAATCAATTATATAATTTTTTTGTCATTTATAGAAACCTCATGAGCTGGGAAAATGTACTTTTATATTTTTCAGAAACTTGAAACATAATTCAGGTCTGAGGGGGTTAACTTTATACGTTTTTCCCCCACAATAACAGCCCAATCCTATAAAATGGACCTGTTCCACTCTTTATTAACACATACGCTCTCCCTCCACACATACACATACATCAAACTAATTAAGATTAATTATAGCACCAGAGAATCAGTATAAACAGATAGATTATACCATGCATAAATTAGACTATTTTACCTGCACCTGTAGCTCATTAGAATAATTTAATGCAAATTGGTATGAAAAAAACGAACACAGTCATTAACGGCTTGAATAAGCCAAACAAACAGGATACAGTCAAAAAAGCAACTATATCTGAATAAAGATATAGTTAATATCTTAATATAAAATAAACATGACAGTAATGCTGATAGCGAGTATTTCTTTTTCTTGTACTAAAAAAGCACCATGAATTTACATAAATTTGCATCAGTAATAAGCTCAGCGATTCAAAATACATCACCAAAACATCAACTCTTGAAGGCAGGGTAAACAAGGACAAACGCTTAACAAATGCAGGGGAAAAAGAAACAAACTTGATAAGAACAAGATTTCTTATGATTGTGTATATGATACTAATTACAAAGAGATTTATCATGAACATTGCATGTAGGTACAACAAGCCATGTGAGGTTTTGCTTTAAAATATAATTAATCAGTCAACAAATTCAATTAATTTTTACCACATCCATGATGATCCACCTTATTTCAGCCATTTTGCTGAACTCAACATGTGACCTCACACTAAAGCCCCGCCCCTCCAAAGAAAGGCAACCTGAACATGCTAAATGACTAACAGGCAGCGAGACTTTCGGATTGGCTGAAAAAGCACAGACCAATCGCCATGTTACAGAGACACCTATTTAGTGATATCTCTCAGGACAATCGAGGAACAATAAAAAATAAGATATTTAACATATCTTAAAGTATTTGCCGCCAAAAACAAAACAAAAACTTTCCTTTACAAAACTAAGATAGAAAATGTAATCATCTTTCTGTATTTTTAATTTGAATCTATGGAAGCTTGTTTCCGACACTGAATAAAAAAAATGATTGCGACTTCTCTCACAATTGCGAGATGTGAAGTCAGAATTGTGAGAAATAAAGTCGCAATTGCGAGAAATAAAGTCGCAATTCTGAGAGATAGTCGCAATTTTGAGAAATGAAGTCACAATTCTTAGAAATAAAGTCACAATTGCGAGAAATAAAGTCGCAATTCTGAGAAATAAAGTCGCAATTCTGATAAATAAAGTCGTAATTGCGAGATATAAAGTCGCATTCTGATAAATAAAGTCGCAATTGTGAGGAAAAAAAAAAACAATTATGACTATCTCACAATTCTGACTTTTTTCTCAAAATTGCGAGTTTACATCTCGCAATTCTGACTTTTACACATAATTGCGAGTTTACATCTCGAAATTCTGACATCTTTTCTCAGAATCGTGAGAGAAAAACTCGCAATTGAGTTATCAGGCCAATTCTAAGGCGAAAAAATACTTTTTCCCCCCTCAGAATAGTTTATATCTCACAATTCTGACTTCATAACACGCAATTGCGACTTTATAACAATCAATTCTGACTTTAAATCTCGCAATTCTGAATTTAGAACACGCAATTGCGACTTTATATCTCGCAATTCTGACTTTATATCTCACAATTGTGAGAAAACAAGTCAGAATTGTGAGATAAAAAGTCGCAATTACCTTTTATATTTTTCATTAAGTGGCGGACACAAGTGTCCACATGAATCTGAATTTCTAAGGGTGGAAAAACTACAAAGAATAGATTAAAAACCAATTAAAGCATAATTTAAGTAATGAGAAAATGAAATTCCTTTCAAGAATATATCAATATTTTACCAAAACAAGCTATTTTATATTTATTGGATGTCAATTTCAGTCAAGATAACTCACAATCTATAATTGTGGAAAAAAAAAAAGATTTATTCTTGATCTGCTACAATGCTTATATGGCAACGTAATGCGTAACTGTGTGTGGCTTCAACAGTTTTAACTGAACGCTTTAGTGGCACAAAAGATGCTAGTGCACACTCACACTGGACCTTTAACTAGGACTTTGTGTTCCTGAACCATCATAATGACAAAGGCAATGTCGTTTGAACCGGAAAGTGCTACGCAAACCTATTACAAACGACATTATAAGCGGCATCAATGGTGTATTTCTGCAGCGACAGACATTTTTGCCAATCGTTTTAAACTGTGTTTAACTATTAAACATGCACTGAATTAAGCAGCTGCCTTTCAGTCATCCCAAACGCAAGTTTAATGATCCGAAATGAAAAGAAAAGGCAAGTTATTTACCTGATGCATGGCTACAAAGAGATGCATCTTACAAAAAAACAAAGAGCACAAATGCACTTGTCCTCCATCTCCAGGACCTCTAATGATCCCCAACGAGATTTCCTATTGATGAGTGCAAAAGCGTTCCTGTCTTTTCCCGGAGGAACGGAGAGCTTCATCAATAAACCTCAGACTTGAAAAGCACATCCTGAGCCAATATACCAATATCACTAACAATGCATCTACTCCATGACCTCAGTAAACGGCATGAGACTGTGTCGCTATGACATCACGGTCTGGTAAGTAAATGTCTTTTATATGAAGTCTTCACTTGAAGCAGATGACCCTGGGTTAGTTTTTAACCCTGGGTTAATGTGTTTCACACTATACTAGGTAGCATTCAATCCTGAGATGTCATGTAGAGTGTCAAATCTTTACAAACTTGGTTAATATTATTGTTAGCATATTATTGGGTTAAATTCATTTAGTGGACAAGCACAGTAAAATACTGTCTCTTCTTAACGTTTATCTGTTTTAGACACTGTACAATCGCTGAAGTGTTAGCATTAATATTTAAGGCATTTACAAGATTTTAGAGCAAATGACTTTTCTAAGCGATTTGTGATTAATGGTAAAAATCCTTTTGATTCAGAAAGACTCGCTAATGAATAGATTCTGACCGATGTGTGAACCAGTTCAACTGATTCATTGAAAGAACGCAACTTCAAAATATCTAAGCGATTCAATGTTGTGGAGTTCACAAGGACACATTTTTTTGTAATATCCACTATAGAAATGACTTGCACATTTTCCATGATCACAATCACCTTTCATGGTTAATCTAGAGCTGGATTTCACAACCCACAGTTGGAAGCGCTAATGCTAAATGCTAACACTTTTTCATAACTATAGACCTTGTGCGCCAGAAAAACAAGCACATAGCCGTCTTGCGTTTGAACTTCTGTTTTTGCGATAAGTGTATATTTTGTTACAGATGGCATCACTGTTGAAGAGGATGAAGTGGAATTACTTATTGTAGAGTTAACTAAATCTATTGTGAGCATTGTAATGTTTGAAGTGGATGTCATAAATGTCAATGACATTTTAAAATGTTCATTCACAATTCAGTGAGATCTTTCCTTCATGCTGTGGAAACACAAACCGGACGACAGAACACAACAAGCGCAGCGCTGAAAAGGGGCGGGGCTTCATAAGGTCTATAAACCCAGGGCTAAAAGTGGACTCAACTCAGGGTTAAAGAAGACATTAACCAAATTGAAAAGCCTATTACAAACACACATTTACACACACACACACATATTTACACACCCTTCAGACGCTGGAGTTCTCCTGATGGTACAGAACATATTCGCGGCTCGTTGAATGTCCAAGTTCATAAATAGGTGTTAGCCCAGGACCGTGAGGGGTGTATTAAGTGCCCTTGACGTTTTTGGTGTGAGGTCTTGATGCCAGACTGGCGTAGTAGGCACACTGTGAGGGGTCGCACTGCCCTGTCGGTCCAGGAGGTCCGGGCTGACCGTGAGGACCAGGGTTACCGGGCTCTCCCTGAGCACCTGCGGCTCCAGGAAGACCATCTTTTCCATATCCTGGCATTCCTGCTGGACCTGGGGTGCAAATATGATCTCAGCCATCGGTTATCATTACAACACGTTTACAAAGAAAGGTTCAAGTCACAATTCACCCCAAAATCAAAAGTTCAATTATATTTTATATTAAAATTATATGAAATAAAATGAAGATTTATTTTAAGACCATTTTACACTTTTGCATTGACTCTTTTTTTAAGCACATTTCTAAGCACAAAATATAAGATCAAAATCGAAAAAAAGCATAAAGAATATACATACTCTTATATCCATTCACTCATGGATGAGGGTGGATAAGTATTATTATTTTCTGAATTAAAGTTGAATACTGGAACTTTAATATGTATATCTTGTCCTAAATCAGGCTTCTTTTCCATATTTTTATCGTGGAATTTTTTGGTTGGATTTGGGAAATTTTCATGAGATTCATCTAAACAGAGTCAATGTAAATCCAAGCATTGATGACCAAAATATCTTACCCATGGGGCCAATTGGACCTTGCTCTCCTCTCTGTCCAACACCGTCTTCTCCCTTTTCACCTTTTGAGCCTCGTTCACCTAAAAAAACAACGTAGGTTGAAAAGATTAAACTTCAAACATCAATCGAGCAAAGTAACTATCTGAAGTTAGTTTGTGGTACCTTTAGGACCAGCTGGACCTCTGGGTCCATCTGCTCCATTTTGTCCAGGCATTCCAGGCTCTCCAGTTTGACCTTGCCTGCCAGGAGATCCATCTTTACCTGGGGGACCAGGCGGACCGGGACGGCCAGCCGTGCTCTTGATATGAGCGGGTTGCATTTGAGCCATGAGGTAAGCTAGTTTAGCTGTGAAAATCAATGGAAAGTTTAGAAAATATTCAAAGAAATTGCCAAGTATCAAGTTAAATACATTTTCGCCAAATGAATCTCACCATCCAATTGTTTGGACAGTTCCTCTTGAATGAGTCGTCGCATTTGTTCCAGTGATGGCGTCTCACCCTTAAAAACACGTAATACATATCATGACATCATTTCGAAATCATAAGCATCACACATTTTCTTCTGAAAATACTATTTGTAGACTCACTCTGAGACCTGGGAGTCCCGGCTGTCCTGAAGAACCAGGGGGCCCAGCAGGACCCACTTCCCCAGGGGGTCCCGACATGCCCATCATCCCCGTGTGACCCTTCCTACCGGGAGGCCCAGGGTTACCCGGAATACCCGGATCACCAACGGGTCCTTTGTCTCCTTTTATTCCATTATCACCCTGCAGAGACAAGCAACCAAGAAAGACAAGTGTTGAATTGATGATTTTGAACTGGTATATAAGTGGATGGATGGATGGATGGATGGATGGATGATGGATGGGTTGGATGGATGGATGGATGGATGGGTGGGTGTATGGATGGTGGATGGGTGAATGGATGGATGGATGGATGGATGGGTGGATGGGTGGATGGGTGGGTGGGTGGGTGTATGGATGGATGGTGGATGGGTAGATAGATGGATGGATGAATGGGTGGGTGTATGGACGGATGGGTGGATGGATGGGTGTATGGACGGATGGGTGGATGAATGGGTGTATGGACGGATGGGTGGGTGGGTGTTTGGATGGATGGGTGGGTGGGTGTTTGGATGGATGGGTGGGTGGGTGTTTGGATGGATGGGTGGATGGATGGATGAATGGATGGGTGGTGTATGGACGGGTGGGTGGGTGTAGGGACGGATGGGTGGGTGGGTGTTTGGATGGATGGATGGGTGGATGGATAGATGGATGGATGGATGGATGCATACCTTTTCTCCCTTCTGTCCTCTGTCTCCTGGTTTTCCTAGCATGCCCTATGATAAAAACATGGTTAGTTAAAAAATTAGGAAAAAGTGTTCATATAATATGAATGAAAAGTAAAGAACCATCACTCACTTGTTTTCCCTCTGGGCCAATTGGACCAGCCGGACCCTGAGGTAAAAACACAAGTGTTTGCTCATATTCAGACAGGCTACAGCACTTCATATCCACTTAGGGTTGACTGCTGTTCATTTCTATATATTTACAAGGCTTGTTTTAACGGCATAAAAGCTTTACTTTTAGATATGCAAAAAATTGAATTCCCATCAGCCCAAACCAACATCACTCACCGATGGCCCTTTTGGACCTGGGAAACCAGGTAATCCTTGGATCCCTGCATCACCTTTGTGTCCTGGCTGACCCTGAAATACAGTAAAACAAAGTGATCGTTTACAATAAACATTGCTGATAATATAGTTCAATAAAGTTCAATGTGCTGCCCCATAGAAATTCTGAGCCATGCTTTAATAGAAACACCAGCGAGAGGCAATTTTCGGGTCCAAAAGTGGTTGTAAATCGAAATCCCAGTTCAATAAACAACATGGCCGCCCATATTGACATGCTATAAGAAACTTACAGGATTTCCCTGAGATCCGGGCTTGCCGGCTGGTCCTGGTTCTCCAGGTTGACCCTAAAAAGACGAAACACAGTGACCCAACAAAACAATCACACTGGTGCCGTTTTGTTTTGCAATTTAATTGGTTCATTAAAGGCATCCTTACGGTTTCTCCTCGTGGTCCTCTCATGCCCTCTAGCCCTGGTGGTCCGGTTTTACCCTGGGCAACACAAGTACACCTATTAAAAGACAACACCATCGTCTGCAGTGACCTCTGACATGGATTGCGTGTTTACTCACATCTTTCCCAGCTGGACCCTCACGTCCAGGAACACCCTGCTTCCCATCTTCACCCTAATGTAACCAATATGACAGGTTGGCATTTATAAACAGAACCCATGACAATTCTGGTTTATTTATGGAGCATATATTAGTGCTGAAGCTTTGAATATGAATATGAATGCATCTATGGGGATTCATTTCAATTGCCATTGACCGACCTTTGACCCTGGAGGCCCTGGTTCCCCTCTGTGACCTTTGAAACCCTGGAAAAGACACAAATATGTGTGTATATTTTAGCCTATAGGTATAGGTAGCAGATAATAATGCCATGGTACATTTGTGCGAGGTGAAATAGTCCAGCTTCCCACAGAACTCCATCCCTAATACAGAATAAGAGAATCTTCATTAGGTTTTTAGTCATAACTCACGGGCATTCCTCTAAGTCCATCTCTTCCTGGTGTTCCTGGCTCTCCCTGTTTACCCTATAAGTAGAAAAGAAAATAATCATAATATATATATATATATTTATGTTTCTGGCTGTATATGCAGAACTAAGCTTGGCTAGGATGCTGGTATGCACGCAGAACATCAGACTCATACCGGCTCTCCAGGTTCTCCTGGTCTGCCATCCTTTCCTTGTTTACCCATCATGCCCTTCAGGACAGAATATGTAGCACCGGAAACAAAAACAGTATCATGGAGTTATTAGATTCCCATTCAAAATAGCTTTTTTATTAATTTGTTTTTAAAGAAATTAATACTTTTATTCAGCAAGGACACATTTAATTGATCAAAAATGACGGTAAAAACAAGTAAAAATACATTTTCTATTTTAATATGTTTGAAAATGTCAAAGTTATTTTAAACTGTAATAATAATATGACTGTATTTTTTGATCAAATAAATGCAGCCATAAGCTTAAGAGACTTCTTACCAAATCTTACCAACCAAAAACTTTTGGACTTTTTAAAAACGATGAAAGAGATGTAATCGCTCACCATTAGACCCGGCAGGCCTGGAGGTCCCTGAATTCCCTTCAGTCCTTCTTTACCCTGGTAAAACACATTCTCATGACTATCAATCATCCATAACATGGACAGATTCCAGTCTTGCAATGCATCCACAAAATCACAGAACAAAACCTATTAGCCTTGCCTTTTCTCCAGCAGGTCCAGGTGGTCCAATAGGTCCAGGGTTTCCATCATTACCCTATACATACAGCAGAAACGTAAGTTGTTTTTTAGTGTAGCAACACAGTCTGGAAGTGTGTTTAAAATACTCACAGGTTGACCCATGGCTCCTGCAGCCCCCGGATAACCAGGAGGTCCTGAGTGACCCTGGGAAAACGCAAATAAATGAGAGAAAGATGTGGCATAAGGATAAATAATGGTATTTCAAATAGTCTGAATACAACAGTGATGAAAAATGGTAAGTTGACAGTACCTTTTCACCCTTATCTCCAGGTGTTCCTGGAGCACCTTTGTCACCTTTGACCCCCTGAAACACAACACAAATAAGTTATTTAAAACAAACACCAGTGATACTATGCTGCCGGTTGACACAAGTATATTTCACCCATATAAGTGTAGGGAGACTTAAAGAATTTGCATGTGTAATGTGTACAGTCAAACCAAAAATGATTCAGACACCAGATATCATTTTTCCTAGTGGGTACAGGACACTATAGTTCAATTATGTAAGTGAGGATAGCAAAATAAAGTAAACTGTGACATTTTATACCCAAAAATTCTTCATATGGATAAAATGGTGGATGGATGGATGGATAAAAGGGTGGATGAGCAGATGGGTGGATGGATTGATGGATAAAAGGGCGGATGGATGGATGGATAAAAGAGTGGATGGATGGATGGATGGATGGATAAAAGGGTGGATTGGATGGATGGATGGATGGTGGATGGATAAAAGGGCAAATGGATGGATGGATGGACAAAAGGGTGGATGAGGGATGCAACCTTTTTATAGCAATTGGTTGACCTAAATTGCCATTATCTAAGAGAAGGATGGCCAAAACCAGTGAAATATCAACTGATTTGAGTTCTTGATCTCTGAGTTCTTGTTAAATTGTATTACCATTTTACTAAACTATAGCGAATAAACTGTGATAATGTGAGAAATGTTGAAGGTGTCTGAATAAATGTTGGTTTGACTGTATATATACTGTATATCGTCTACATTCTAACCTTGGTTCCATCAGCACCAGGAGGTCCAGCGGGTCCTGTTGGTCCAGGAGGACCCTGCAAAAGCCACCAGTTAAATCCCAATAAAGACTCATAAATTAATCTATTATTTGAGGTTTTAAATGGAGGTAAACTGATTAAACGTGTATATTTCATGTTCTGTTTCAGTTCCATTAAAACATTGATTTCTAAATCATGATTCCTCACCGCATATCCATCCTGTCCGTTTTTCCCAGGTGGTCCAGTATGACCTTTGTCACCAGGAGGTCCTGGAGTACCTGGTTGTCCAGCTGGTCCAGGGGGACAATCTGAACAAATGTCCTGGGAAAGAGAAAAACACACTTACAACCTTTACAAGAATGGAAATCCATAACAAGAACTAACACTAAACTCAAAATCCTGGGTTTTCAACACTATATCTGATCAATAAAGGTGGATGCCAAATTAAGCAACTACATGTATTACAGAGAGCTTTAATGGTGTAATGGAGCTTTAATTAATATAATAGTGCAGCCAAATTAACTAAAATTTACTTACTAAGCCTCTCTTATATCCCAGTTTTAGAAATTATAGATGGTGTGACCCTACCCTGATCTATATTATGGTGTGCACTTTAAGATAAATGTCCTATAATATATCCTATCCGCCATGGATAGGTGGGTGGAAGGATGAGCAAATGGAAGGATAGGCAGATAGATGGATGGATAGGTGGATGGATAAAAGGGCAAAGGGATGGATGGATGGATGGATGGATGGATAAAAGGGTGGATGAGTGGATGGATGGATGGATAAATGGATGGATAGATGAAAGGGTGGATGAGTGGATTGATGGATGGATAAAAGGGTGGATGAGTGGATGGAGGAGAGGATGGATGGATATATCGATGGATAAAAGGGTGGATGAGTGGATAGATGGATGTATGGATAAAAGGGTGGATGAGTGGATGGAAGAGTGGATGGATAAAAGGGCGGATGGATGGATGGATGGATAAAAGGGTGGATGAGTGGATGGATGGATAAACGGATGGATGGATGAAAGGGTGGATGAGTGGATTGATGGATAAAAGGGCGGATGAGCAGATCGATGGATGGATGGATAAAAGGCTGGATGGATGGATGGATGAGTGGATGGATGTATAAAAGGGTGGATACGCGCATGGATGGATGGATAAAAGGGTGGATGAGTGGATGGATGAGCGGCTGGATGGATGGATAAAAGGGTGGATGAGTGGATGGATGGATGGATAAACAGATGGATGAAATGAAAGGGTGGATGAGTGGATTGATGGATAAAAGGGTGGATGAGCAGATGGATGGATGGATGGATAAAAGGGTGGATGGATGGATGGATGAAAGGGTGGATACGCGGATGGATGGATAAAAGGGTGGATGAGTGGATAGAAGAGCGGATGGATGGATATATCGATGGATAAAAGGGTGGATGAGCGGATAGATGGGTGTATGTATAAAAGGGTGGATGAGTGGATGGATGGATGGATAAAAGGTTGGATGAGCAGATGGATGGATAAAGAGTGGATGAGCAAATGGATGGATAGAAAGATGAACGGGAGAATGGTGGATTTTAGGATGGATGGATAAAAGGGTGGATAAGTGGGTGGATGGATAAAAGGTTGGATGAGCGGATGGATGGATGGATAAAAGGGTGGATGAGTGGCTGGATGAGCGGATGGATGGATGGATAAAAAGCTGGATGAGCGAATGGATGGATGTATGGATAAAAAGGTGGATGAGTGGATGGATAAAAGGTTGGATGAGCGGATGGATGGATGGATAAAAGGGTGGATGAGTGGATGGATGAGCAGATGGATGGATAGAAGGATGAATGGGAGAATGGTGGATTTTAGAATGGATGGATGGATGAATGACTGTTACCTTCAGATCAGAAAGGTCTGCAGCTTTTCCCTGTAAAAGAGGTTGGGAAAACAAAACTGAATAAAACAGTTGTTTAACTGCATCTATGATCCATCAGCAGCAGAGGAATATTAAATGTCCGCTGATTTGATGATTCCATATTTAAATGATGAACAGGTATCACTCACTGGTTCTCCAGCTGAGCCCTTCTCTCCAGGTCTTCCTGGTAAACCCTGCAGGTACACACACACACACACACACACACACACATGACTCCTGCTGATGATCCTCACCACAGGTAAACACATTCAAACCGTGTTAATCACAAACTGACGCTGAATCCCCAACAAGACTGAATGAGATCCACAGCAGGCCCTGGTTTAATTCTGCATCACGATTCAGGATTGCAAAGTAAAGCACTTCACTGTCATTGTACAGCTATAATATGATTAATGGAAGCTAAAGATGCTTCATCGGAGATGATGAATGAATGTTCTGCGTGGATTTCAAAAAATGAAACCAGCTTGCTAAGCAGTTGAGTGGTAACTCTAAATTTAAGCAATATTAATAGTAGAACCACTAACGTGAGTAGATATTTACTTTTTTGGAAAAGCAGAAACTGTTCTCTAAAATGGGAATATGAAATCTCACAGAATTATAAATACAACCTGCTACTAACTAGCATTAGCATAGCAAATTACAGAGCGTCTTCAGTTGTGTGCTGGGTGGTTTTAAGAACTCATTTAAAAGTATTGATGCAAAACAAAACATGGTGTATCCATGGCCATATGAATCATCTGATCCCAGGGACTACAGTTTACAATGTAGCCTTTAGCTAATGATGCTACAATAACAGAATTGTCCCTGTACGAGTAAATCAAAGTGAATCTTACATTATGTCCAGCGGGTCCCTGTGGTCCGCTCACTCCTGGAGGTCCTCTCAAACCCTGAATATCAAACATGACACGTCACTTAAGGCTGTTCTGTCAGCATCTGTCTCATTTGAAAGTGATATAAATATGAAGAGATTGTTTACCGCGGCTCCTGTCGGCCCTGGAGGTCCGGGAGGCCCCTAAGAAAGACAGAATATATGACCATAAATACATTTGTCTCTGTTTGTCTTCAGTAAGCTGGGTCAGAAATACAGTAGATGGAAAAGTCACATAAGCTTTCATATAATAAAAGCATGTTTTGTGTACTGTGTGCACGATACAGTATGTGTGCTTGTATATACAAATGTGTTCACTCAAACTACAGCAAACTTATGTGAAAATGAATGCATTTTGATTGGATATTGCAACGGAAGAATGAGCAGATGACATGACTGTACCTGAGGTCCAGTGGTTCCCTCTCCGGCTGGTCCTCTGTTTCCTGGCATTCCTGGCATGCCCTGTGGGCCGGGCAAGCCCTAAAACACAAAATAAAAAGTGAATTATTTGCTGGATAATTATAATTCCACTTCCAATATAAACACTATATCTCTGTGCATTGCTGCACACTCTCAGAAAAAAAGGTACAAAAGCTGTCACTGGGGCTGTACCTTTTCAAAAGGTAAACTTTTTCCATTTTAGGTGCTAATATGTACATTTTAGGTGTTATTATGTGCATTCAGGTGCTAATGTGTACATTTAGGTGCTAATTTGTACATTTTAGGGGCTATTATGGTGCTTATATGTACATTCTAGGTGCTATTATGTACATTTAGGTGCTAATATGTACCATTAAGGTACCAATATGCACCCTTTAGGTACAAAAGTGTACAGCCGCAGTGACAGCTTTGGGACCTTTTTTTCTTAGAGTGTAGATATTGTTCTTTTGTGTTTATAATATTGACTCTAATCTTTATTGTAATACATATATTTAGTATGGTAATCTCTCTCTCTCTCTCATTTTTCCGTCTCAATAATAGTAGTTTAAAATAAGTGTTTTCTATTTGAATATATTTGAATTGTAATTTATTCCTGTAATCAAAGCTGAATTTTCAGCATCATTACTCCAGTCTTCAGACACACATGATCCTTCAGAAATCATTATAATATGAGGATTTGCTGCTCAAAAAAACATTTATTATCATTATCGATGTTGAAAACAGTTGAGCTGCCTAATCATTTTTGTGGAAATATTTTCCAGAATTCTTTAATAAATGGAATTTTCTTTAAAATAGGAATCTTTTGTAATACTATAAGTGTATCTACTGTAACTTTTGATCAATTTAATGCATTCTTTCTGGTTAAAAACTTTAAAGAAATAATAATATCTCACTGAACCTAAACATTTAAACGAGAGTGTATGTAAAGTCGAGCACTGACTGATAAGTCAGTAGCAAAAGGTACAGTAGCAAAATGAATATCTGGTACTTTTTCCTCAGGAAAACGTCTTTGCTATCATTATCTGGTTGTCTGAAATTTCATTAAAAACCATCATATAAATGAAATGCCGATGAAAAGTGATTCAGCTTTTGCCTCTGGGGAACACACACCTGCTCATGATATTAAAAATGCCCAAAAATATATTTCATGATAATGGAAGACAAAATTAAGTCTGTTTTTCTTCTAACAAGTAAAAACACCCACATAGAAGTCTCATTACCTTCAGTCCGGGAGGTCCAGCTGGACCCGGAGGTCCTGTATCACCCTGTAATTACACAAAGCAGAGTAATACTGTGCTTCTAGCATCTCTCTATTTCTAGATATTTTATTAGTCCTCTCACAAAATCATATTTAGTTTATTTTTTAAGGGGTTATTTCATTCCAAGTTTTTTTAAGATATACAGAATGAAATTTAAGTCATACTTCACTAAAAATTGTGATGCCATTTTGTTTGGTGTATATAATACAGCATACACATCACTCCATTTGATTATTTTATATACACACACACACACAAGCATGTATCTCTGTTGGATAGACTGTGTGCGTGTGTGTATAGCTGGAAAAATAAGGCAGCTGTAACTATAAAACAACCCCGGTTCCCCTGTAACACCTGCAGCCAGTCTCATTGACTCATTAGTTTAATGTGTGGTACTTTTATTCTCCACGTTTCAGTGCTTTTAACCACAATCAGCAAATATAAATGGAAAAAGTTAGGGTAAACAACTTTAAGATTCTCCAGAGCACAAGATGTAAACAGCTTATTAAATGCAATTTTACACGCTCATGACGGGAAACCTTAAAACAAGAACGAAACGAAATGCAAGCTCTTTTCTTCTAAAGCTAATTGGCCAGTAGTATTGAGACCATTTCCAATTTTAAAGCAGTAGCTCACTATTTACTCACCCCCATGTCATCCAAGATGTCCATGTCATTCTTTCTTCAGTCGAAATTAAATTAGGGTTTTTGATGAAAACATTCCAGGATTTTTTTCCATATAATGGACTTCAATGGGAACCAAACGGTTCAAGGTCCAAATGAGAGTATCAACGCAGCTTCAAAGGGCTTTAACCGACACCAGACGATGAATAAGGGTCTTATCTAGCGAAACGATCGGTCATTTCAAAAATAAATAAAAAAGTTTAAGTTTTATAAGCACAAATGCTCACCTTGCTCTGTTCTGTGATGCAGAAAACATTGATTTTCCTGTTCGAACTCGTTCATCTAAATTAACTAATATTTTTTGAGTCATTTCATTCATTCAACGAATGAAATGCAAGAAACGAGAAAAGATTCGTCTGGTGTCATTTAAAGCCTTTTGAAGATGCATGGACATGAACATCTTGGATGACATGGGGGTGAGTGAACTATGAACAAAAGTTTTTTTTTTAAAGGATTTTTGCTGATAATTTACTCACCCCCATGTCATCCAAGATGTCCATGTCTTTCTTTCTTCAGTCGAAAAGAAATTAAGGTTTTTAATGAAAACGTTCCAGGATTTTTCTCCATATAATGGACTTCAATGGGAACCAAACGGTTCAAGTTCCAAAAGAAACTTTCAGTACAAACCGCAAACTTGTTCAAAGGGCTTTAAACGATTTCAGACGATAAATAAGGGTCTTATCAAGTGAAACGATCGCTCATTTTTTAAGAAAATAACAAAGTTTAAGTTTTATAAGCTCAAACGCTCGCCTTGCTCTGTTCTGTCACGCACTCCTGTTCGAACTCGTTCAACAAAATGAACAAATCTTTTTCCGAATCAATTCGTTCGTTTATTTCACCGTATGAACCAAATGACTCGGAAAAAGATTTGTTCATTTTGTTGAACGAGTTCGAACAGGAGTGCGTGACAGAACAGAGCAAGGCGAGCGTTTGAGCTTATAAAACTTAAACTTTGTTATTTATTTATAAAACGATCGATCGTTTCGCTTGATAAGACCCTTATTCATCATCTGGAATCGTTTAAAGCCTATTTGAACAAGTTTGCAGTTTGTACTTAAAGTTTCTTTTGGACCTTGAACCGTCTGGTTCCCACTGAAGTCCATTATATAGAGAAAAATCCTGGAATGTTTTCATCAAAAACCTTCATTTCTTTTCAACTGAAGAAAGAAAGACGTGGACATCTTGGATGACATGGGGGTGAGTAAATTATCAGCAAAAGTTTTTTCAAAAGTGAACTACTCCTTTAAAGTCAAATCAGTATCAAATGTATAATCCATGGTATCAAGCTTATGAATCACACAATGAATGCATTACCTTTGTTCCCTCTTTGCCTTTTCCTGGCAAACCGATTTCTCCCCTTAAACCAGGCTCACCGGTTGGACCAGGGGGTCCAGAAGGACCATCTTTACCTGCATCTCCCTGGTGGCATATAAATAGCCATAAATACAAACAAAAAACCCAACATGTCCTAAGAAAAATTTAAAAGGTAAATTATGTTTCAAGAAAATAAATAACTATTGAATAACTATTAAATAATCCATTGATGAGCCAAAACATTATGGCCACCCGCTTAGAATGATGTCGGTGTGCTGCCAAAACAGCGTCGACCCACCCACGGGAATTTGGAGGCCAGGGCAACACCTTGAATCATGTTCCTCAATCTATTTCTGAACAATGTGTGTTCAACAGTGTGGCCAGGTTTATTATCCTGCTGAAAGAGGCCAACTCCACCAGGGAACGTGTTAAAACTATAATTTAAAACTATAATTTTAATTAGTTGTTTAATTCCTTTACCTTCTCTCCTCTCTGTCCAGCGATACCAGGTGGACCGATGCTGCCTGGAATACCCTAAAAAAACACACAGACAAGTTGTTTACACTCGCAAAAGTTAAATTTTAAAACATTTGAGATCACTACCAGAAAAATTACAACCTGCTTATATGACACCATATGCATGTACACATTTGACACAAATTGTACGTTTCCTAAAATAGATCTTGTATTTCGGATGTCAAAAAAGCCAAGAATTTATTTGAGAACGTACCACGTTGCCTGGCAGCCCTCTGAGCCCCTGAGGGCCCGTCAATCCGGGCGGACCCTGAAGAAAGTGAAGAGTTTGACAGTGAAAAGTTACAAGAAACAAACAATACATTCATGTGTGAGAAGAAGACAAACTCACTGGGTCTCCATGTCTCCCTGCCTCTCCTTTATCACCAGTGTCACCCTTAGGGCCCTGTTCAAACAGGAGAAAGACATCAAGACTCCATTTCTCGAAAAATCACTGACATTTTCACAGGAATGACTGGAGAATGTAGATAGTCTGATGTGAATGAAAGCAGCTCAGATGTTTTATGAAGGAGCGTTTCTGGTTTACCGCAGGTCCGGAGTGTCCTCTGAATCCCTGCTCTCCAGGAAGTCCTCTTTGACCCTGGGAATATTAGAGATTGTGAAGGTTATCAGATTCATTTCAGGTCACAAGTCTTAATGTATGCCATAATATCCTTAAAGTGTGTAACAGAATATCAGTAACCAGACAGTTTTTGGTCTCATTGATTTCCATAGTAGAAAAAAATATATAATATGGAAGTCAATGAGACCAGAAACGGTCTGGTTACTGATATTCTTCTAAATATCTGAAAATCGTCTGAATACATTCGAAAACGGTAAAACCCAACTGTTTAACTCTGGGGGAGTGGTAAAATGAGCCTATTTCCATAAAAAGTGGAGTATCCCTTTAAAGTTTTGATCCAATTTGTTTTGTAATCACTGTTCCCCCGACTGAGCCTGGTTTCTCCCAAGGTTTTTTCCTCTATTCAATCACCTGATGGAGTTTTGGTTCCTTGCCACTGTTGCCTTGGCTTTTGGCTTGCTTAGTTGGGACATTTAATATTCAACAATATTATTGACCTGTGTTGTATTATTTTCATGTTATCACTGTGAAGTTTGATACAATCTGTATTGTAAAAAGCGCTATATAAATAAAGGTGACTTGACTTGAATGTTTTAATATACTTTTTAGTTTATTTAGGCATGGTGACTTTGAAATCTCATAAAGTTTATGCTGCACTCCAGAAATGAAACCTGGCTCTCTTTTAAGATGACGTCAGGGCAGAAATGATTGCATTTGGCCTGACTAGTGAGAACTGCAGTAATTCAACAGAGATTTCTCATTTCACACTAATACATTCAGGAGAGAGCAGATACATCATCAGAACAAGCTTGTCTGTGATTCTGTAAATGATGCACTGCTTGGTGTCTGGACTATTTTATTAGATGAGTGCATCTTTGTGCAGTTTTATATATACTATATATATATATATATATATATATATACACTCACACACAAACATATATATATATATATATATATATATATATATATATATACACACACATATATACACACACATATATATACACATAAAATAATTATAAAGCATTGGTTATGTGACCTAATTATATTCGTCAGTTAAACTTTCACTTTGATATTTATAAACTGATGTCCTGTAAAGATGTGCTTGAGTTGGTCTGCCTTATTATACTTTATTTGCTTATTTTCTTTATTTGATATTCTAATATTACTAAGTCAAGAGATTGACTATGCAGAAAAGCTAATCTTGGAGATGTCAAAATTGAAATGTCAACAATTTAACAAAATAAATATGCTAAAGTAAATGTCAATAGCACTGATCTGTGAATAGATGCCCAGGATCTGTTTTATTAAAGCTCGGAGTAAAAAGGCACCTTCACCTGTTTTGAGATATTATCAGGTGCTAAAACTATAGCAAATGGTGTCCAATAGCAGAATGCTGGATTTAACGTGAGCTCACAGAGGTACATGATATCAGCTGATGGGATGCAACGCCCCTGACCTTCATGTTTATTAATATTCCTTTATGCAACGTTGAATCCTTTAATATCTATTGTCCAAAAATGCGTGAAACGCTTCAGGTGGCTGTTCTCAGAAATGAAAAGCACATATTTAGCTGTTGCCTTTCAAGTAAATTTGCCTCATGGTTCCTCAAACTGACAGCAGACTTTATTATGTCTGCACTTATCACAGTAAAGTGCTTCTGTAAATGAACATTTTCAGACGCACAAGAGAACAGTACAACCAAACCTGACTCTCTACTGCCCTCTTGAGATGATTCCTACATTACATTTAAAATTATTGTTGAAAAGCTCACCATCTCGCCTGGTTTTCCTTGATCTCCTTTCTCTCCCTTCTCTCCCGGCTTGCCCTAAAGATCAGGAAATTTCAAATGTGAATGTAAAACAGGCAAAATATATAATTTATTATATGATACGGTGGCCCCAAAGAGTATTTCAACTTAAAAATGAGTGCATCAAAATATTGTTCAGGGTAAAGACAGACAGCACAAATACACTTAAATAAGTTTATTAATAGATATACTTACAATATCTATTAACAACCTATTCTCAATATTACTCAAAATAAGCTCAAAATCAAAACCGATAACTTACCGGTTCGCCAGGTTCAGGAATCACATTGGCCACCTACAGAAAATAAAAACACATCACAAATATGAATTAAGAGCCTCATTCATCAGCTGAATCAATACATGATTAAACACTAAAAACTATATCATCTGTAAATGTATATTTATATGGTTATATTTGTATGCAATATGTCAATTTTCAACTGTACTCACATTGCCTGGGACCCCGGCTGGACCCCTGGGGCCCACCTCACCCTGTATGAAAAAAAAAAAAAGTCACAGAGAGAGGTTATATCCTCATCCTGTCAGCATGTTAATGATCTCATTAACAACCTCATGCCCTCAGGAGACCATCACTGACATGTGTGAGACAAACACATGCTCAAAAACGGCCCTCTGGAAGCCTGTTGTGTTTATATCACAAATGCCGTTATCCAGAGGTGACTTGTAGGCTAAAACACAACAAATGAGTCTTAGATAATCGCCTAATCATTCTTTATTTTATTTTTAGACATTTCAAGTCATCAAAACTATTAATTAACTAAATACACTATCATTTAAAAGGTATTTTAATGTTTTTAAACAGAAGTCTCAGGCTGCGTTCACACTGCAGGGGATTAATGCTCAATTCCAATTTTGTAAAAAAATTTGATTTTTTTGCAAGGCCATTCACATTTCCAATTAAATGCAACCTTTTGTGATCTCCTTTATGAACGTGAACGTGAAATGACCCAGAAGTGACCCACATGCGCAGAAGAGTACTCAAGGGTCAACGACGTCACTTGTTTTTTTGTGGAAGCAGCTAAACATGGATGCCAACAGTGTAGCTCGTTTAGCAATATTAAAGTTTCCCCCAACATTAAAGTTTTTTTCCCAACATTAAAGTTATTTTCCCAACATTAAAGTTTTTTTCCCAACATTAAATTTTTTTTGCCAACATTAAAGTTATTTTCCCAACATTAAAGTTATTTTCCCAACATTAAAGTTATTTTCCCAACATTAAAGTTGTTTTCCCAACATTAAAGTTGTTTTCCAACATTAAAGTTATTTTCCAAATATTAAAGTTATTTTCCAACATTAAAGTTTTTTTCCCAACATTAAAGTTATTTTCCAAACATTAAAGTTGTTTTCCAACATTAAAGTTATTTTCCCAACATTAAAGTTTTCCCAACATTAAAGTTATTTTCCCAACATTAAAGTTATTTCCCAACATTAAAGTTATTTTCCAACATTAAAGTTATTTTCCAAACATTAAAGTTTTTTCCCAACATTAAAGTTATTTTCCCAACATTAAAGTTATTTTCCCAACATTAAAGTTATTTTCCAACATTAAAGTTATTTTCCCAACATTAAAGTTAATTTCCCAACATTAAAGTTATTTTCCCAACATTAAAGTTATTTTCCCAACATTAAAGTTATTTTCCCAACATTAAAGTTTTTTCCCAACATTAAAGTTATTTTCCCAACATTAAAGTTATTTTCCCAACATTAAAGTTATTTTCCCAACATTAAAGTTATTTTCCAACATTAAAGTTATTTTCCCAACATTAAAGTTATTTAACAAAATTAAAGTTTTTTTCCCCCAACATTAAAGTTTTTTTTTTCTACATTAAAGTTATTTTCTTAATTTTAAATTTATTTTCCCAACATTAAGGTTTTCCCAACATTAAATTTTTTCCCAACATTAAACTTATTTTCCCAACATTAAAGTTACTTCCCCAACATTAAAGTTATTTTCCCAACATTAAAGTTATTTCCCCAAAATTACAGTTATTTTCCCAACATTAAAGTTTAAATTTGTTTGTTTTTTCCCCAACATAGCCAGAACAATTACAATCTTCTCATTCCCACCTACTTCAACGCAGAATTATGGCGTTTGTTGCATATCAATGACGTGCGGTTGGGATAAGTGTGACCTGGCCGTTCAGATTGAAGTCGAATTTCAAAAGATCGGATATATATCGGATTTGGACCATATACCCAAGTGGCCTGGCTCGCATTTGACAAGATCGGATCCGTGTCGTTCAGACTGTCATGAAAATATCAGATACAGGTCGCATAAGGGAAAAAAAAAAAAAAAAATCGGAATTGGGTTGTTCCAGTCTGCAGTGTGAGCATAGCCTTTTGCTCCCTAAAGCAGTATTTATTTGTTCAAAAATACAGCAAAAAACAGTAAAATTGTGAAATATTAAATTTCAAGATAACACGTTTTCCATTGAATATATTTTAAAAAGTAATTTATTTCTGTGATGAAAAGCTGAACTTTACTCTTCTTCAAAGTCACATGATCCTTCAGAAATCATTCTTATATGATGATTTGCTGCTGAAGAAACTGTGATAGTATTTCTTAATATTATCAAAGTTGAAAACAGTCGTGCTGCTTAGGATTCTTTGATGAATACAAAGTTCAAAATAGCAGCATTTATTTTGAAATTGAAATCTTTTCCTTTTCAATGTAAATGTATTTTTGTCTCTTTTCATCAATTTAACATGTTTTTGCTGACATTTACAAGTATTAATATCTTTTAAAAAAAAGAAACTATTCAAAAAGTGCACATTTCCAGCAGTCTTTTTGTTTCTCACCTTGTCTCCTTTGTCTCCTTTGAAGCCAGTAGGTCCATCTTTCCCTCTTTCACCCTACAAGACAGACAGACGGATGAAGATCTGACAAACTCATGACTCAATCTGACATTACCAACACTCATTTCTTATTTTTATCTCATCATCTTTGTGCTGAAATATAGTCTGGACATGTCTTATGAGAAGTGAATAGATGTTGGTTCTCACAGTAGAGTTTTTCTACAGTAGATCCTGATATTTTTACCAAATCAATATCTATTGATTCTGTTAATCAATGAAACACCTGATTCTGACCTCAAAACATCAAGAGCAGAGAGAGAATTCGATTCTTTCAAACAAACGTCCATATAGTATGCAGTCTTACTTGGCCTCCCCTCTCTCCTTTGGGTCCCATCGGGCCGACCTGTCCAGCCAAACCAGGCTCTCCCTGAGGCGGAACAAGACAGCTGTTCATATGTGCTTTTGCCAAGTCATTCTCAAAACTCATTTAAGTTTTTGCTTTCCTCACCCGTTCACCAGAAGGTCCTCGGGGTCCTGGAGGGCCTTCGTCTCCCTGAGAGAAAGGCAAAGTAGCATTAGTGATAAAAAAATGTTTAAACAACTAGTCCACAAACCACCCTTTACCTTCGATCCCGGTTTACCAGGGAAACCGTCCTGTCCGGGTTCTCCTCGTTCGCCCTAATGGAAATACAAAATAATTACAAAAACACAATTGAAAAGGTCAAAAACCAGATCTGGCCTTTCGATGAGTGTATAAATGATGAAGTTCTGCCTCCAGAGAACTGAGTTCACAGTTTGCCTCATTAAAACAGTTCTAACCTTCACGCCGTCGTTTCCAGGGAAACCATCCAATCCATCTTTTCCTGGCAGACCCTGAAAAAATAATTACCATTAAAATCATTATTTCAAGTTTTTCCAGTGTTCCGTTAATAAGGTAACAGATTGTTGAAGTGCGGACAATATGAGCTTGAGTTCTCAGGGTAAAGTCACAGCGACTCACTGGTTTTCCTGCTTCTCCTAGTTTTCCCGGGAAGCCGATTTCACCGGGTAATCCCTGTGAGAACAAACAGATCAATTTCATATCATCTGTATACTATTATGTGGCTGTGTGACATATTGTTTTGGTGTATGTAAACTTACTGGAGGTCCCGTCTGTCCAGGGCTGCCACTAAGACCAGGAGGCCCCTGAGGACCCTAGAAACAAAAATAAAACTTGAAATGTTACATTAGAAATTAATACATTTTTGGAGTCAATGCACCCCCACGCTTCGTTTTTTAATCTGAAAGATGTTCATTCCTCTAGTAACCACTAGAGGTCACTGTTACTCTAAAAAGACTTTGGATTTTTTTTAAAGGGATCATCGGATGACCACTTTCCACATGTTGATATGATTCCTAAGGATCTTCATGTAAAGTTTGTAAAATGCTTGGGTTAAAATTCCTCAATGGTTGTGTAAAACAACACACTTTTTACCTCCTCAAGTGTTCACAGAGACCCGTTTAGGTGCATGTCTCTTTAAATGATAATGAACAACTCCTCACCCCACCCCTCTCTTCCATGGGTTGTGCTATCTTGGCAGACAGTAAACAATTGGCATCAAAATACTCTGTAATACTATTTCTGCAGTATGAACTATACACTATTTTCTGTACATGTTAAATATGTAAGTGAACTATTATTTGTCAAAACACTTACTGATAAAAAAAGATCCTTTTAAATATATATATATATATATATATATATATATATATATACATATATACATAGTAGGCTAGTTTGCAGGAGCTTTACACTCTAAAAATGCTGGGTTGTTTTAACCCAACTTTGGGTCAAATATGGACAAACCCAAATGTTGGGTTAAAATGTAATTAAAAATGTAACCCAATGGCTGGGTTTGTCCATATTTAACGCAAAGTTGGGTTGAAACAACCCAGCATTTTTTGTTTGAGAGTGTAGTATTTGATTCTGAACAATTCTATAAACAAACCCAAAATGCAAATCACACTTGACAAGAAAAATAAAGGGCAGAGGGTTCTGCTCAGACTAAGACTGAATGTTCTTACGGGTGGTCCTGGAAGACCATCAACTCCCGGCAATCCTGCATCCCCCTTTTTACCCTAGAGAAACAGAGAAGACAATGTCTCATCAGCTTGTATTATGTGGAAAATAAAAAAGGAGATATAAGGAATCAAGATATATTTTATAAAATAAAACAATGAAGTGATTGCATTAATATCAGCTATAATTAACCTTTTTAATCACAATAAAGGCATATTACTTTTTTATTCTACTAATCAGTTATCCATCTTTTCTCTCTAAATTAAATCTGTTCACCGTATAAATCGCTCGAGTCTCTTCAGAAAATTGGACTAAACCACATAAAAAATGGAATAGTTTTATGATCTGTTTATGAAGTTTTTGAAGTGTCAGTTGCGTTCATCAAAAAGTCTTACAGGTTTGGAACGACAAATTAGTAATTATGCAAGTAATTATTTTTGGGTGAACTATCGCTTTCAGGCATTTAATTTCTCTTGGCGTGCTTTTTTTTCTTCAAATTGTTATTAACTTAATGGAAATGTCAACATTTCTGAACTTTACCTGACCCACCACAGTTTCTGCACAAACTGTGAGAGGTCGGGTAGAGTTCATGTCTTCTTTCTGGCATCTATAATGACTCCAATTTAACTTTCCATTAATTAGAGACATAAAACAAGGGTTGTTCTGCCCTCTCGTGGACAAACTGGAAATGGCTCTTGATTGACATTCAGATTCAGATTCACTTTATTAGCCATTTGCAGTATAAAACCACATTGGAAAAAATGTGCAAAAAGTCTCTCAAGGTGCAATGTCACAAGTAAAAGGACATATATTATATCCAATATTAAATAGAAATGAGAAAAATTGCAAAATGGCAGTAAATGGAAATAGAACAAAGAAAGATAGGCTACTAAAGACCCTGTTAGCATGTTTTTTTCCTGTTTATTTCTTCTTCTTTTTTCTATTTATTTCTTTTTCTATTTCTATTTCTTTCTGTCTTATTTCTTTCCAACTGAAACAGGATGTCAGGTTGGAACATATAATAGAAGGGCTCATACTGTCCTTGACCATGATTAGCTACATGCTAATGCTAGCAGTTGGTCTCAGGTAAGGCTTTAGTTTTTATATCCCTATCTGAAATGTTGTTGTTTACGTATGCTAGCATATACATCATAGACTAAAAGCCACAAAAACAGTTAAGAGTTTTAATGGTACAGAAGCAGAGCGTACATCTTCCTCACTTTCATATTTGTTCAATCATGGCAGAACATGCTAACTCTTGCTAACAGGTTAGCAGCATCCCCTGCTGCTGGCACACAAGGCAAGGACAATTACTTTGAAGGTATTTCAGCAATAAGAGCTTAAAATAGAGAGATATGAACTCTTTTAACGTCTCACTCAGGGCTCCCTGGCGTTCTACAGTGCACCATTCACTCAAGCGCCACCCGCTGTGTGTCTGTGCTGTGCGCGAGATCTGTGTCAGATTCCCTATCTAAAAGCTTCTGAAAGCCCGTGTGCTCTGAAAGCTTCTGTGTTTCCCGCTGGGACAGAGAGAACTTGGGCAACACTCAGAACACCTGCAAACCCTGCTGAGATACAATACTGAGCTAGGAACTGCGCACCTAAAAATGAGAATTCAACTTTGGAAGGATAAAAGCAAGCAATATACTGTACACACAATGTCTTTGTGTCTACCGGTCCTAGTTGGTTCATTGGCACTTTTCAGATAGTTGTCCAGCTAAATAACAGGTTGGTGAGGCTGAGAAACCATCTTAAACCAGCAGACCAGATTTAGGTGGATTAAGTGAGTTTTTACAGTGCAGCAAAATCGAGAACCAATGCCTTCAATGGCCAGTCTTCATGTGGTAAATATGAAATGGGCAGATCGCCTAAATGTCTGTCTGTTAACAGCTTAAAATCTTAAACCTGTGTCACTTTATCATTATTTATGTGCTATCACAGTTCTTAATAATTTGAATTAACTTTTTTTATTCAGTTTAGATTTTATTTCTAAATATTTTTAGTTTATTTTTTTAATGTCAGATGTAGTTTTATTTTAGTTAGTAATATTAGTACTTCAAAAGACATAAATAACACTCAGAAAATCTATTTTTTTGTTTGTTGAAACTTTAGATAAAATATAAAAAATACATATAATGAAAGTTTGCATATGTTCTTTATGAGTATCATATTTGATACACCAGGCTTTTATGGCTCATATAGTATGATAAGAGAATATGGAGCTCATACTCAATAAAATAAATAAAACACTTTAATTCAGAAAGAGAAAAGTCAGAATTGTGAGCTAAAGTCTCAATTCTGTCTTTTTTTCTCACAATTGCGACTTTATTTCTCAGAATTGCAACTTTTTATCTCGCAATTACGACTTTATTTCTCAGAATTGCGACTTTATTTCTCAGAATTGCGACTTTATATCTCGCAATTGCGACTTTATTTCTCAAAATTGCGACTTTATATCTTGTAATTGCAACTTTATTTCTCAAAATTGAGACTTTATATCTCGCAATTGCGACTTTATTCTCGATGCGCGACGACTTTTATCTCGCAATTGCAACTTTATTTCTCAGAATTGCGACTTTATATCTCGCAATTGTGACACAAAATTGTGACTTTATATCTCGTAATTGCAACTTTATTTCTCAGAATTGAGACTTTATCTATACTCGTAAATTGCAACTTCTCTCTGCGACTTTATTTCTCAGAATGGCGACTTTATATTTCGCAATTGCAATATATATCGTAATTGCGACTTTATTTCTCAGAATTGCGACTTTTTCTCTCGCAATTGCGACTTTATTTTGAAAAATATCTTATTTTGTGTTCAATAGAAGAAAGTAAGTTAAACTGATTTGGAACAACATGAGGGTGAATAAATTATAACAAAATTTATTTATTTTATTATTACAGAATGTATTTATAATTTAAATGCATAAAAACCTTGTTCTGTTTGCTTGTTTTTCATTTTTGGAGTTGTTATCCAACTGCTATTATAATTTGACAAGAATCAATTTTTACCAAGAACCATGAGAACATTTTAATGATGCCATCCTCTCATCAGTTTGAGGGCATCTGAGAGCATTTGAACATCTCCTGTCTCTCTTCCTAACAAGCTCCTCCGCTTTAATCTGACCCCACAGAGCACTCAAAAATACCACAACATGAACTGAGATTCACAGTTTCTAGCCAGTCTCTATGGTTACCCCAGATCAGGTTCTAGAACACCTCACATCTCCGTTAAAAGCAGCCGATGGATTATTACAATCAAATATAAATGTCCTACCCTTTGTCCGTTCTCACCCATCTCACCGGGCAAACCTGGAGGTCCAGGTGGGCCCTGAGGAAAACAACAGAAACAATAGGCTGATCAAAAACAATGAAGTGCACAAAAACAATGCTGCTTTTTTCATAAACAGACCATGAATATAATGTACAGTGATCTCAAAAATTATCTGGACACTTGAGCCTTATGTAAAACGTCTGAATGTCATTGCATTCGTAGTATATCTGCAATCAGGAGCTTTTCTCAGAACGAACTTTACTTTTCTTCTTCAATACGTAACTTTAAAACAATAAAACTAGTTTGAAACAGCATTACATTACAAAATATATCTTACAGGAGGTCCAGGGGGGCCGTCCGCTCCTGGGGGTCCTCGTTCTCCTGGGACGCCCTGAAACCACACACACACACACGGTTTAGAGAATACTCTGAAAGAAGCAAAGGTAGACTTCTCTTCAAAAAAGATGTTACACTTACAGTCTCCCCTTTGAGTCCTGCCAACTGAACCTGAGGAAAAACACAGATCAATTCAACTCAATACAGTAGTTTTACAATGTAAATTAATTCAGTTTACGAATAAAACGTCTTACTGCATCGCCAGGTATTCCAGCAGGACCTTGTTCCCCCTATTAAACAAACACAGAGATTATGAAACATCTGAATGGTTTAAGCAAGAGATTTATCTTATGCTGGTTCGACTCCCACAAACAGTGATTTGATATTTGAGTTAAACTGTCTGTACTGCAAGCTGCAACGTCTGACATTTTTCTCATTTCCTTTGGGAATAAGTACATGAAAGTGTGTGTGTGATAAAATGAGACAGACTGATTGCATATTTGAATGGGTGTCTTTGTAGATGAGCGTGAGAAATACAGACATATCATTCAAAACTATAATTTTCCAAGAAAGATATGTGTTTTGGGATTTTGTGTGAAAAGGGGAAGAGTTAAATATATTACCGGGGTGCATCTTCAACTACAAAAGAAAAGTAAAAATGACTTTGAAAATGAGACTTAACTGAAAAAAATATGGGTTTGGAGCAATTGAGAATCAATAAAAGACTTGCCCAGACCTTTAAAACCAAAGGAACCAGCATTCCCCAAAAAGTGTCCATACTAGGGTGTTGTAACGATACCCTCATGTCACGATTTGATACATATCACGTTACTGAACTCATGATACGATATTATTGAGATAAAAGGTTAACAAAAATACACTGTTGATTAAAATGCTAAATTTGATATTACATTGTGGGTTTAAATGAATAGGCTTGGACTTGTAACCCAAGGACAATGGTGACACCAGAATAAAAATATTCATGATTCTGAAGATGAAAATACAGAATTATTGTAGATGAATATGATTGCACTCTTTATATTTAAAATAATGTCGGCCACTTTTTACTGGTAACATCAGTCATTTAGCATTATCAGGACACACAAATATTCCCACATAATCAACACTATATATTATAGTTCAATGTAGTACTGACACTAAAACTCTGAAAACTATGGGGGGACTATCCACAATACATATTTTTACATTTTTGTATTGCGATATATTTTGGCACGATATATTGTTACACCCCTAGTCCATACCTTTTCTCCTTTGACTCCATTTGATCCAGGAGCGCCACTCAGCCCCCTAGGACCCTGATTTAGAGAAAAAGAGTCATTTAGTTCAAACATATAGCAATACTTGACACAAGCTCACATTAATATCTTCAACTTCCAGTGTAAATGCTGAGCAAATTGGTACATGACAAATTAAATACATTATAGAATCCTCTGAACACTTACATCCTTTCCTGGAACACCTGGTTTACCTGGAAACCCGTCTAAACCTGGCTCGCCCTAAACAACATGAGAAAGTCAGACATCATTGAATGGAAAATGCTGTAATACAAATATATACACTATACTATAAAAAATATTTTCAAGATTTGTCATCACAACATATTTTCTTTTGTCAAATCAACTTTATAATAATTTATTTAGTTGAGATAACTTCACAATAATATCACAATGCTAATTTCATGATAGTTGTCTTGATAAATGACTATAATTTTTACAGCACACAATTTGTTCTGAAATTAGTTAGAATAGTGTCACAAGGTCTTTATTTCTTATCCCTATTTTCTAGGTTTTTGTCCCACAAACGACATTTAGGTTCAGTATGAAGCAAGGCTGAGCGACTCCTTTAACGTTAAACTGCTTATATTTGTCTAGACTTGTGTTTTTTTTTTTTTTTTTTTTTATAAAGACAGCAGCAGGAACTGAGTGTTAAATGACAAACTCTTGAAAACATGTGTAATATACACTACACAGAGCCTGCTGTTACAGCTCAGGAATTCAGGAAATATAACAGATGGTAAATGAGTTTACACGATGTATTTATTTTGAGTTCAAGGCCATTTCAGTTCAAAAGTTAACCATTCTCGCAAAAGTATAATCTGATATTTCCTGTTTTGATGGACTATGCATTTATTTCTAAAAATATTCCTATTTGCTCCATTTGCATTGGATCACCAGTATTTATCTTTAAAAGTAATGCATTTGTGCCTACCAAGGCAAACTAAGCTGGATAAAGCTGTACACTTTAAAATAATAATAATAATAATAAAATCTGTGAAATTTACAGTAAAAAAAATAAACGTCAGCTATGGTAGCCAGAAGCTTAAAAGTTAAAATATGTTAGCCCAATGTCAGGTTTTATTAACTTAAAAAAAAAATGTATTTCATTAAAGGAACACTTTTGGGGACTTTGAATCACTCCGCCCACGTAGCAGTGCTTCGCCTTCTGAGAATATAGTTCCCAATATTTATACGGTTAAAAAAGATGGCCGTGTCTCATATGACCTTGTTATTTGTACACTCTGTGACTATACAAATAACAACATGTAAATAGGAAAATGTTTGCGTAATTTTGTCTCTTATTGGATTTAGTATGCTAGCTGTATCCATTTACATCCAGTCTTTGTGCTAAGCTAGGCTAGTGGTGGGTGTGTCAGACAGAGTTACAGCACGCACGGAGATGAAAAAGGTATGTATGGACTTATCTAACTCTGGGGGATACGGTGAATAAGCTAAAGTCCCAAAAAGTCGGACTGTTCCTTTAACTGATACACTGTTAACAAACCAGCCCATTAAAATGATAATTTACCACATTAACCTTTTTTTCATTACTTACTCGCCATCATGTTGTTCCAAACCTGTATGTACAGTATTTCTTTCTTCTGTTGTACACAAATGAAGACATTTTGAATAATGTCAGTAACCAGACATTTGATGGCACCCTTTGACTTCCATAGTAGGAAAAAAAATACTATTAAAGTCAATGGGGTCTAGTTACCAACATTTATTAAAATATCTTCTGTTGTGTTAAAAATAAGAAACAAATTGACAACTTGAGGGTGAGTAAGTAATAACAAAAGTTTCATTTTTGGGTGAACTATCCCTTTAATGCACTAAAATTTTATTTGGTAATGTAAAAGCCATTATTTGGTATTGTAAAAGTTCATTAAAAAAATAGCTGTTTCCACAAAACTGATATAATACTGATAAAAGGCACAGTGTCACACAGACACAAAACACCATCACGACATTTAAACAATGCAATTAACACAATTAACAAGACAAGATGTTACAAAATCCTAATGTACTGTATAACAAATTACAAAAGATCAACTGATAACCAAAGAAAATAGGAAGAAATATTTATTATGGGAGAATTATGGAGAATTATGGACTGTGAATGTCAATTTATGTTTTTTCACTGGTTATGGTTTTTCATAGGATGACTTTTTCCAAAAACTAAATTTAATCAAAATTTTACTAAATTTACAAAAAAAAAAAAAAAATACTTTTAATCAAAATTTTCAAAGAAAATCATTGTTAATCAAATCCAAAAGGTTTTTACACTCACAGTCTTTCACCATTAAAATTGCATAATTTTTCAACAGTGAAACTTTTTCATGTTAAAATATCTCTCATAATAAAATAGCTGATTTACTGGAAACTGTGACTCCTGGGGGAAATAGTATTTGTTTGAGCATCCCAACCAGTCAAATACAGCAACATCAGCTCAACCATTTTTGCAGTTCCACATGCTGTCACTAGTGGTGCAAATTAGCTTTCGCAACCTCAGTGTGTGTGTGGAGGTGTACCGTGGGACAGACCGTGGGATGACGGTAAAGCTGTACCGTGTGAAACGGTCTGGTTGCACACCGCCCCACAGAACAGGAAATATGGAGTCTGCATCAGCACTGACATCTGTTTGAGTTATTAGTCTGCCTGCGTACACTGTTGAAATATTCCCTCTGTAGCGTTTGGATCTGACGGTGCTTTTGACAATGACCAGTTTGGACTCTGTCCAAGTTATTACAAAGCATCAGAACTTAAAACAGGACTTGCTGACAAGGGGAAGACAACCGGGAACATTGTCCCAGGCCTTGAAGTGGGAGAAAGAGGCTCTGTAATGACAGACTAATCTAGATTTTTACATTTTCTTGAAGGCGATGTAGACTGCTGTGCAAAAAAAATCTGCTGCATGATTTAAGACTCATTCATGTGTGTAGTGCAGGACGAGTTATGTGCCAAAGTTCAGCATAAGGGGTTCAGATCACTAAGCCTATAATGATGTTTGTGGGAGCATAGTTGTTATGATTGACAGGTGTCAATCATCATTTACCCTATCTCCAGAGGATCCTTTGTCTCCTTTATTTCCAGCACCGCCCTGATGAAAAAACACAACATGCTCTTAATGTTACAAACGTCACTTAAAATGCAATAAAACTAAAACCATTAAAACATTATTGCTGCTTGAAACATTTCAGCTATTTTAACTAGTTGCCAAAGCAACATTTCTTATTTTCATTTAGTTCAACTTGATGTAATAGAACTGGAATAAAAATGTATAAAATCTATATAGACATAAAACTTCAAAAAAACACAAAATAAAATTACTAAAACATTATTATAATAATATTAACTAATAATGAATATAAGCCTCTGTTCATCATATTAAACATCCCTTCAGAATATTTGTAATATGGATTAGTCTCTTTATGAACTTTTTGAAGCTTCAAAATGGTAGTTGCGTAGCTGTCAATGGAGGAACAGACATTAAAATTATCTTAATTTGTGTTCCGGGTTTGGAACGACGTGAGGGTGAGAAAATAAATTTTAATTTTCATGTTTGGGTGAAATAACCCTTTAAGAATGAACAATTGTTAGATACAAACATGCATTTGTGAGAAATGAAGTTGCAACTGTTGCATTAATGATCAAGTCTTAAAGGAGTAGTTCACTTTTGCTGATAATTCACTCACCCCCATGTCATCCAAGATGTCCACGTCTTTCTTTCTTCAGTCGAAAAGAAATTAAGGTTTTTGATGAAAACATTCCAGGATTTTCTCCATATAATGGACTTCATTGGGAACCAAACGGTTCAAGGTCCAAACGAGAGTTTCAGTGCAGCTTCAAAGGGCTTTAAACGACACCAGACGATGAATAAGGGTCTTATCTAGCGAAACGATCAGCCATTTCAAAAATAAATAGAAAAGTTTAAGTTTTATAAGTACAAATGCTCGCCTTGCTCTGTTCTGTGATGCGCGTTCGT